AAAAAAAAAAAAAAAAAAGGATTCATTTAGGCCAGGCGCAATGGCTTACGCCTATAATCCCAGAGCTTTGGGAGGCCAAAGCAGGCGGATCACCTGAGGTCAGGAGTTTGAGACCAGCCTGGCCAGTCTGGCCAACAGGGTAAAACCCTGTCTCTACTAAAAATACAAAAATTAGCCAGGTGTGGTGGCACACACCTGTAATTCCAGCTACTCAGGAGGCTGAGGCATGAGAATCACTTGAACCCGGGAGGCGGAGGTTGCAGTGAGCCACTGCACTCCAGCCTGAGCAACAGAGCGAGACTGTCTCAAAAAAAGAAAAAAAAAAAAGACTAATTTATTGTAGAAACTACCTCAAAATTGACTCGAGAGGTGAGGACTATTGTGAACCCCATTTTCCAAATGGAGAAACTGAGGCTTGGGGAGCACGGTGAAAAAGTGGCTGGGATTTGAACCTAGGACTTTGTGACCAAGGAGTCGAAGTTTTTTTTTAGCTGTCCCCATCTACTTCCCAGCCCCCTAACCCTTGACCCCTTAACCTCCACCCCCATCCCACCTGCTACCCGCAGCCCGACCTGAGAGAGACATGAGAACGTTGTTGATGGAGTACACCCACGTAGTCCGGCTAGGAAAGAGCTGCAGGGAACGGGAGAGATGGCTCTGGTGATACCCCAGCAACCCCCGACTCCAGCCCTTGCCCTTGCCCGGTATGGTTCCTCACCATCTCCAGCGTGGCCTCCTGGTCATTCCGGTTCAGGATGAAGATGCCTTCCTCTGCCCCCAGGAGCAGGTGCTGGTCTGGAGGCACAGACAAGGACCCTGGGACCGACTTCATCCTCAGAGACCTCCCAGATCCCCACCTGACCTCAAATACTGACACTGTGGCCCCAGCTCTGACCTTCTATTCTTTCTCCAAACCAATACTCCCAGCCTCTGTTTCCCCAAACAAACCCAGAGCAGACGGTCCCTCAAGCCAGTCTCATTCTCCCTCCTTTTGACTACCCATATTCTGGTGGTTTTTTCATCTCTGCCCCACTGTCTTCTGAACCTAACTGACCCCAACCTTAGACCTGCCCCCCAAAATAGTCCTCTGATTGCCTCCCCTCTTCCTCCCCAGTTCTGATACCCTAATGCCAATCCTATCTTAACATTGACCTTCAAACTCAGACACCCCCAAATAGGACTTTTTCTGTCCAGTGTGACCTGTTCCTTTAACACTGACCTTGTCTTCATCTCTTTGATCTCTAGATTCTGTCCCTTTCTGGCTGCATCCTAATCTCTAAAATTCCTCACCCCAAAATGCTGCTCCCAGTCTCCCTATCATTAACCTCCAGCTGTCCATCTCTCCTGTGCCCCAAACTCTAACCTTTTTGTTATATTCTGACACTCCTGGCCTCTGAATTCCAATATTCCTAGTTTCACTCTCCAACTCACCCCTCTCCCCCTTTTTTTTTTTTGTTGAGACTGTTGCCCAGGCTGGAGTGCAGTGGCATGATCTCGGCTCACTGCAACCTCCACCCCTTAGATTCAAGCAATTCTCCTGCCTCAGCCTCGAAACTGGAATTATAGGCACGTGCCACTACGCCTGGCTAATTTTTGTATTTTTAGTAGA